GCAGAATGGATAAGAACTCACCTGCTGTCTTCAGGAAACTCACTTAACACAAGGACTCAAATAACATATAGGGATGGACAAAGACATTTCATGCAAATGGACACCAAAAGCAAGCAGGGATAGCTATTCTTATATCAGACAAAACAAATTTTAAAGCAACAGTGGTTAAAAAAGACAAAGAGGGACACTATATAATCATAAGTGGCCTGATCCAACAGGGAAACATCACAATCCTAAACATATACGCACCTAACACTAGAGCTCCAAAATTTATAAAACAATTACTAATAGACCTAATAAATGAGATAGACAGCAACACCATAAGAGTGAGGGACTTCAATACTCCCACTGACAGCACTAGACAGGTCATTAAGACAGAAAGTAAACAAAGAAACAAAGGATTTAACTCTACCCTGGAACACATGAAGTTAACAGATATATACAAAACATTTAATCCAACAACTGAAGAACACACATTCTATTCAACAGTGCATGGAAGTTTTTCCAAGATAGATCATATGATAGGCCTTAAAACGAGCCTCAGTAAATTTAAGAAAATTGAAATTACATCAAGCACTCTCTCAGAGCACAGTGGAATAAAACTGGAAATCAATTCCCAAAGGAACTTTCAAAACCGTGCAAATACATGGAAATTAACCTGCTCCTGAATGAGCATTGGGTCAAAAACAAAATCAATATGGAACATAAAAATTTTTCAAACTGAATGACAATAATGACACAACCGATCAAAACCTCTGGGATACAGCTAAGGTGGTAAGAGGAAAGTTCATATCCCCAAATGACTACATCAAAAAGTCTGAAACAGAACAAACAGACAATCTAAGGTCGCATCTCAAGGAACAAGAACAAACCAAACCCAGCAGAAAAAACAAAATAACCATGATCAGAACAGAACTAATTGAAACTGAAAGAAAAAAATAAAAAAGGTAAATGAAACAAAGAGCTGCTCTTAGAAAAGATAAATAAAATTGATAGGCCATTAGCAAGATTAACCAAGAAAAGAAGAGAGAAAATCCACATAACCTCACTGAGAAATGAAACAGGAGATATTATAACTGACACCACTGAAAGGCAAAGAATTATTCAAGGTTACTATGAACACCTTTACACACATAAACTAGAAAACCTAGAAGAAATGGATAAATTGCTGGAAAAATACAACCCTCCTAGCTTAAATGAGGAAGAATTAGATACCCTGAACAGACCAATAACAAAGAGTGAGATTAAAATGGTAATTTAAAAATCACCGAGAAAAAAAGTCCAGGACTAGACAGATTCACAGAATTCTACCAGATATTCAAAGAATTGGTACCAATCGTTTTGACACTGTTCCACAAGATAGGGAAAGAAGGAACCCTCCCTAATTCATTCTGTAAAGCCAGCATCACCCTAATACCAAAACCAGGAAAAGACAAAACCAGAAAAGAAAACTACAGATTAATATCCTTGATAAACATTGATGCTAAAATTCTTAACAAAATACTAGCTAACCAAATCCAACAACATGTCAAAAAGATAATCCACCATAATCAAGTTTGTTGCATACCAGGGATGCAGGGATGGTTTGACACACACAAGTCAACAAATGTGATACACCACATAAATAGAATTCAAAACGAATTCACATGACTATTTCAATAGATGCAGAGAAAGCATTTGACAAAAGCCAGCATCCCTTTATGATTAAAACTCTCAGCAAAGTTGGCATACAGGCGACACAACTTAATGTAATAAAATCTATCTATGACAAACCCACAGTCAAAATAATAGTGAATGGGGAAAAGTTGAAAGCATTCCCTCTGAGAACAGAAAAAAGAAAGGATGCCCACTCTCAACACTCCTCTTCAACACAGTTCTGGAGTCCTATCCAGAGAAATAAGACAAGAAGTAAACAGCATCCAAATCAGTAAACAGGAAGTCAAACTGTACCTGTTTGCTGATGATGAAATCATTTACCTTGAAAACCCTGAGGACTCCTCCAGAAAGCTCCTCAAACTGATAAAAGAATTCAGCAGTTTCTGGATACAAGACTAATGTAAAAAAATCAGTAGCTCTTTTATTCACCAACAGCAAGCAAATGGAGAAATAATCAAGAACTCAACCTCTTTTACAATAGCTGAACAAAAATAAAATACTTAGGAACATACCTAATGAAGGAGTCGAAAGAACTCTACAAGGAAAACTACAAAACACTGCTGAAAGATATCATAGATGACACAAACAAATAGAAACACAGCCCATGCTCATGGATGGGTAGAATCAAATTTGTGAAAATGACCATACTGCCAAAAGCAATCTACAAATTCAACAGAATCCTCATCAAAATACCGCCATCATTCTTCACAGAGTTAGAAAAAACAATTCTAAAATTCATATAGAGCCCACATAGCCAAAGCAAGACTAAGCAAAAAGAACAAATCTGGAGGCACCACACTACCTGATTTCAAACTATAAGGCTGTAGTCACCAAAACAGCATGGTACTGGTATAAAAATAGGCACATAGACCAAAGGAAGAGAGAACCCAGAAATAAACCCAAATGCTTACAGCCAACTGATCTTCAACAAAGCAAAACAAAAACATAATGTGGGGAAAGGACACCCTTTTCAACAAATGGTGCTGGGATAATTGGCCAGTCACATGTAGGAGAATGAAACTGGATACTCATTTCTCACCTTATACCAAAAATCAACTCAAGATGAATTAAGGACTTAAACCTAAGACCTGAAACTATAAAAATTTGCAAGATAACATTGGAAAAACCCTTCTAGGCATTAGCTAGGCAAAAATTTCATGACCAAAAACCCAAAAGCAAATGCAGTAAAAACAAAGACAAATAGCTGGGACCTAATTAAACTAAAGAGATTTTGCATGGCAAATGAAACAGTCAGCAGAGTAAACAGAGAACTCACAGAGTGGGAGAAAATCTTCACAATCTATACATCTGCCAAAGGACTAATATCCAGAATCTACAGTGAACTCAAACAAATCAGTCAGAAAAGAAAATCCCATCAAAAAGTGGGCCAAATACATGAATAGACAATTCTCAAAAGAAGATATAAAAATGGCTAACAAACATTTAAAAAGTTCAACATCACTAATGATAAGGGAAATGCAAATCAAAACCACAATGCCATACCACCTTATTCCTGCAAGAATGGCTATAATCAAAATATCAAAAAACTGTAGATGTTGGCTTGGATGCAGAGATCAGGGAACACTTCTACACTGCTAGTGGAAAGGTAAACTAGTACAGCTGCTACGGAAAAAAGTGTGGAGATTCCTTAAAGAACTAAAAGTAGAACTACCATTTGATCCAGCAATCCCACCACTGGGTAACTACCCACAGGAAAAGAAGTCATTATTTGAAACATAGACCAATGGAACAGAGAACCCAGAAATAAACCCAAATACTGACTACTTGAAAAAGATACTTGAACATCCATATTTCTAGCAGCACAATTCACAATTTCAGACTCGTGGAACCAACCAAAATGCCCATCAATCAATGAGTAGATAAAGAAACTATGACATGTACATATATGTTGGAATACTACTCAGCCACAAAAAGAAATTAACAGCATTTGCAATGACCTGGATGATATTGGAGATTATTATCCTAAGTGAATTAACTGAGGAATGGAAAATCAAACATATATTCTTGCTGATATGTGGGAGGTAAGCTATGAGGATGCAAAGGCATAAGAATGATAAAATAGACTTTGAAGACTTGGGGGGAAGAGTAGGAAGGGAGAGGGATAAAAGACAACATATATGGTGCAGTGTATACTGCTCAGGTGATGGGTCCAATCAGGGTCTCACAAATCACCACTAAAGAACTTACTCATCTAACCAAATACCACCTGTACCCCAATAAATAATGGCACAATGAAATTTAAAAAATTATTTTTATACTTACAGACCAGCTCACATAATGAATATTCCATAAACTATTACACAGGCTGGGCACGGTGGCTCACAACTGTAATCCCAGCATTTTGGGAGGCCGAGGTGCGTGGATCACCTGAGGTCAGAAGTTCGAGACCAGCCTGACCAACACAGTGAAACCCTGCCTCTACCAAAAATACAAAAATTAGCTGGGCGTATTGGCGGGCACCTGTAATCCCAGCTACCTGGGAGGCTGAGGCAGGGGAACTGCTTGAACCCGAAAGGCAGAGGTTGCAATGAGCCAAGATCACACCATTGCACTCCAGTCTGGGCAACAGAGCAAGACTTCATCTCAAAAAAAAAAAAAAGAAGAAAGAAAAAGAAAAAGAAAAAAAACTACTAAACAAACAAAAAAAAATTATGGGTCTAACATGAGTAACAGTCAAATTAAAACAGGTATTTTGCATGGGGAGACTCTGAAGCATAAACCAAAAAGTTATACCGTAATAAATTTAATACAAAGCAGAGAGCATAGACTTACTTTCAGTAATTTTGAGAATTTTTGTTTTCTCTCTAGTAAATTAGACACCTTCTTAAAATGATTTATTTTGTTCCAATATTACTTTTTTTTGGCTAAAAATAGTTTCAAACATACACTAACACAAACACACTACATAATTTATTTACACCTAAGATTTATCTTTAGACTAATAGATCTGTATATTTAATTCCATGTAAATCAATACTAAGAGTTCATATATGCTTGCAGCCAGAGGCCACATGTTAAAATAAAAATATATTAAAATTTAAAAAAATATTTATTCAGGACACAGAAATGTATGGATTTTACTTGGGTTTGTATATAATTTTCATTATGACCATAAAAATGACCCTATAGTCAATAGCAACTTAATTGTACATTTAAAAATAACTAAAACTGAAGAACTGAATTGCTTGTAATACAAAGAATAAATGCTAGAGGTAATGGATATGTCATTTCCTCTGATGTGATTATTACATATCACATGCCTGTATCAAAATATGCCATATATGGCATAAACATATACACATATTACATATCCACAAAAATTAAGAAAAATAAATTTGAATGTAAAAATAAGAATAAAATTTAACCTATAGGAACAATATTTTTTAACTTATTGGCAATTTAAAGCCACTGGCAAAAAGATTACTAGAGATCTCAGTCCATTATCTTACCAAATAGTGTATTGTTACCATCTTTTACCTACACCACTGAATAAGGTGGAATAGGTTAAAGTTAGTGGCATAATGCTTCAATGAATTCATGATAGTATTTAACATGTTAAAAATGCTGAATTAAAAAGTTCACACATAATTTATAATTTTAAAATATAATGTATATTATTCCATAAAAGTACAATATTACTAACTTAATGTTAACTAAATAAGAAAGCTTTTCTTTCATAATGATGCAGAAAAATATTACTCTGAACACCTACCTCATGCATAACTCAATATTATGTTAACCCAAAGAGCCTCTTTACTTAAATTTTCATCATGTATCTTACATTTTAAGGTCCTTACCTTTCCATAGAAAAGGTCACAAATAATACCTACCTAATAAAAAAGAATCTCTCATATCTTTTATGCAGCAACAATTAGTCACGTTTTCACATGTGAATACACTAGGAATGGTGAAACAGCATGAAGTAATTTAAGAGTTTAACTCCATTATTATTCGCTTTTAAAAAATTCTGTATTTTCAAAAAAAAAGTATACTTTGAATGTAATTATAACTCTCCAAAAAAATTCTACTTCTTTTAAAGTTATACACAATTAATGCTTACACAAACTTTAGTTTGTATTATTTCCTACACTCAGCACTCTGATTTAGTGTAATGTCTAAAGTTTGAGTGCCCTAGATATTTCTACCGTGAATTATTCCCTGATATTTACATAGACTTAATTTTGGATTGAACATCTTTCATATTTAATGCATCTGCAAAAATATATTTTAGTATGAACTCTTTGGTGTTTTATAATTTGTAGTTTTTGAAAAAATGTTTTTCCAAATTCAGCATATTTGTAGGGTTTTCTTCAATATAAACTCCCTGATACTGAACAAAATTTTAATAACTCCCTCAGGGTTTTCCTGTAGTACAAAATGTGTACAATAAGCTCTGTGATACAAGTAAAGGTATTACAACCCTCTTCATATTTGTAATGCTTTTTCAAAATAAATACTCTTCTGCACTTTAAAGACATACGTTCTTATCTTTTGATGGTAATTAGACTTTTAATGCTTTTATTTAGTATGAACTCTTTGATTTTGAGTAAGATGTGAGCAGGTATTAATGGTTTTTTTACTTTGTCTATATTTGTACATTTGTTTTCAAATATAAACGCTTTCTGGTGCAATAAGCTGTAAGCATTGGTTAGAAGCTTGGCCACATTGTTCACAGTGGTAGTTTTTTCCAGTATGAATTATCTTACCCACAATCAATTGTTGACAATCATTTAAAGTCTTTGTCACATTCTTCACATTTCTAGGATTTGTCAGGAGCATGATTTTCTTTGTTTAGAAAAGTTTGAGGTGCTGTCAAAAGCATTGGCACATCTTTCAGATCTGCAGTTTGTCTTCAGTATGAATAATCTTATATCTGTTAAGAATTGAGGACTTTTTTAGGCTTTCCATATTATTCACACTTGTAAGATTTCTCTCCAATATGAGTTATCTTATCTGTAGTGAGATGTAAGGACTGGTTAAAGGCTTTGCCAATTTTTTCCCATTTGTAGGGTTGCTGTCCAGCATGAATTTTTTTATGTTTAGTTAGGGCTGAGGACTAGAAAAACACTTTGCCACATTCTTCACATTTGTAGGGTTTTACTCCAGTATGAAATTATCTTATGTTTAATAAAGGTTGAAGACAGGTTAAAAGATTTCCCACATTTCTTCAGATTTGCAGGGTTTCTCTCCAGTTTGAATTCTCTTATGGTTACTCAGGATTGAAGACTGCTTAAAGGCTTTGCCACATTTTTCACATTTTTAAGGTTTCTCTTCAGTATGAATTATGTTTAGTAAGAGTTGAGGAACATTTAAAGGCTTTGCCACATTTTTCACATTTGTAAGGTTTCTCTCCAGTGTGCATCCTCTTACGTCTACTTAGGGGTGAGGATCATATGCTTTGCCACATTCTTCACATTCGTAGGGGTTATTTGCAGTATGAATTATCTTATGTGTAGTAAGATTTGAGAATCGATTAAAAGCTTTCCCACATTCTTCACACTTGTAAGGTTCCTCTCCAGTGTGAATTATCTAATGTTTAGTAAGATTTGAGGATTAAAAGCTTTTTCACATTCTTCACATTTGTAGGGTTTCTCTCCAGTGTGCATCCTCTTATGTTTAGCGTTGAGGACCATATACATGCTTTGCCACATTCTTCACATTTGTAAGGTTTCTCTCTAGTATGAATTATCTCATGTTCAGTAAGGGTTGAGAAACTTATAAATGCTTTCCCACATGCTTTACCCTTTTTAAGGTTTCTCTCAAGTATGAATTCTCTTATGCTTAAAAAGGGTTGAGGACCAGATAAATGATTTACCACATTCGTCACACTTGTAAGGTTTCTCTCCAGTATGAATTATCTTATGCGTAGCAAGATTTGAGGATCGATTAAACGCTTTGCCACATTCTTCACACTTGTAAGGTTTCTCTCCGGTATGAATTATCTTATGTGTACTAAGATTTGAGGATTGACTAAAAGCTTTGCCACATTCTTCACATTTGTAGGGTTTCTCTCCAGTGTGAATCCTCTTATGTTTAGATAGGGTTGAGGACAATATAAAAGCTTTGCCACATTCTTCACATTTGTAGGGTTTCTCTCCAGTATGAATTATCTTATGTGCAGTAAGGGTTGAGGATTGGCTAAAAGCTTTGCCACATTCTTCACATGTGTAGGGTTTCTCTCCAGTGTGCATTCTCTTATGTGTAGTTAGGGCTGAGGATCGGCTAAATGCTTTACCACATTCTTCACATTTGTAGGGTTTCTCTCTAGTATGAATTTTCTTATGTTCAGTAAGGTTTGAGGACCATATAAATGCTTTGCCACATTCTTCACACTTGTAAGGCTTCTCTCCAGTATGAATTATCTTATGTTTAGTAAGATTTGAGGATCGATGAAAAGCTTTGCCACATTCTTCACATTTGAAGGGTTTCTCTCCAGTGTGAATCCTTTTATGTTTACTTAGGGTTGAGGGCCATATAAATGCCTTACCACATTCTTCACATTTGTAGGGTTTCTCTCCAGTATGAATTATCCTATGTGTAGTAAGGTGTCCGAACTGTCTAAAAGCTTTGGCACATTCTTCACATTTGTAGGGTTTCTCTCCCGTGTGCAGCCTCTTATGTCTAGTTAGGGTTGAGGACCATACAAATGCTTTGCCACATTCTTCACATTTGTAGGGTTTCTCTCCAATGTGCATCCTCTTATGTATGGTTAGGGCTGAGGGTTGGCTAAATGCTTTACCACATTCTTCACATTTGCAGGGTTTCTCTCCAGTGTGTATCCTCTTATGTATGGTTAGTGTGGAGGATTGGCTAAATGCTTTGCCACATTCTTCACACTTGTAAGGTTTCTCTGCAGTATGAGTTATCTTATGTGTAGCATAATTTGAGGATCGATTAAAAGCTCTGCCATATTCTTCACATTTGTAGGGCTTTTCTTCAGTATGAGGCTTCTTATGATTAGTAAGGGTTGAGGACCAATTAAAGGTTTTTCCACATTCTTTACATTTGTATGGCTTCTCTGTAGTATAAATGCTTTTATGGTGGGTTTTGTGTGAAAGCATGCAAAATGATTTGACACAATTTTTACATTTGAAAGGTTTCTTTCTAGTATGTCTTATCTTATATCTGTTTAAATTTATAAATGTATAAAAGACTTTCATATATTTACCACATTGAGATACTTTGCCCTGGGTAGTTGTGAAACACTGGTTAAGTACATTATAGCCTTCTTTGTGTACCTTACACTCATCCACACTTTTACAACCTTTTCTTAACTGTAAGTTCTCATGTCCACATTTTTCAAATCTTCTTAGTATTACTTTTTGAAAAGAATCTTCCATGCCCTGCTCTGGCCAAATGTCTTGAGCAAAATGAGGACATATACCTGGAAAAAAGAAAATTAAAATAATTTACTCCACTTACTATATAAATATAGTTTAAAAATCTTACCTATAAAATTATACAACCTACATAAACAAGATGGTTTTGCAAAAATACCACAGACCCTAATTCTTTCACAGACATTTAAATGTAAGAAAAACATACAAACCAAAATACATCTGTGGGAAATTTATAAATCAGTTAAGTGTGTGCAGTGTTCCAGATGAGCACAATGCAAAAAACCACATAGAAGAAAAAGAAAAGTCGAAATTAACCCAACACAGCTTTTCCTGCTTCCCACTATAACATAGTGCCTTTAGAAGTAAATTGCAAACTCTTGATTTCTGTTTTAAAAGAAAGGTAAGATACTGGCACATTCATTGTCATTTCTGGCTTTTAGGGGCTTTTACTGACACTGTTTTCTGTCTCTCATGACAAAGTGCTGACAGAAATGGTGGTATACTTTGGAATGAGAGTTTCAGTCTGCTGAGATCAAAGAAAAATGTTCCAGCAGCAGCGAGACTGCAGTGCCACAGAAAAGGAACAAGTGTAGCAAGTGATTACTGACTCCTACAAAGTAACATGAATAAACTCTAACTAAAAAATAAACACAAAATTTCAGGCAACACAGGTCCTAAGAATATGTCTGAAAAACTCCCATAATCACGAGCCAAGATAATTGTTTTCAGGCTATGCCAGGAGCTACATTATAAAAATTTTGACAGGTAGTTTTTTTTAATGTAAAAAACTGAAAGCTTATAATATATACAAAATAGGGCAGTATCATCCCATCAAAAATATCATAAAATTTTCTGAAATATAAAAAACTAAGATTTATACATTAATTTTAAGAATTGTTAATAAATTGAATACTGATTAAAACAAGAACAGAGACAAGTATGGAAAATCAGAAAAATGAGGACGAGAACAAAAATATTTAACATTTCAAAAAAAGACAGAAACTGTGGATGTAAAAAATACAAAAGGAAACTAAAAGATCCTAAAAGTTAGAAAAAAAGATGTAAAAATAAAGGAGCTCCGTTGAGGTTTTGGCTGGGGGGCGGTGGCTCACGCCTGTAATCCCAACACTTTGGTAGGCCAAGACAGGCGGATCATGAGGTCAGGAGATCGAGACCATCCTGGCTAACATGGTGAAACCCCATCGCTACTAAAACAATAGAAAAAATTAGCCAGGCGTGGTGGTGGGTGCCTGCAATCCCAGCTACTCTGGAGGCTGAGGCATGAGAATGGCATGAACCTGGGAGGCTGAGCTTGTACTGAGCCAAGAACGTGCCACTGTACTCCAGCCTGGGCAACAGAGGCAGACTCTGTCTCAAACAAACAAACAAAAAAAGAAGCTCAACAAATATATATGCAAATACACAAAAGTAGAATTTCTTAGCATTATCCTAGTGGTGCAGAAAACATTTTTAATTATTCTCTGAAATTTGAAAGATAAAAGCAGAGAAATCATTATAAACATCTGTTAATGAATATACAATATAAAAGATATAAATAGCAACATAAATGACAAGTTTTAGAGATGATGTAATAAAAAAGAATTTTTGTATACAGCTTAAGTTTTTTTTTTTTTGCCAGATTAAAATATATTATTGTATTTTTTACACGTTATATGTAATCACCAATGTACCACAAAAATATTTGTATAAATACACAAAACAGGCTGGGTGTAATTGCTCATGCCTGTAATCCCAGCACTTTGGGAGGTCGAGGCGGGTGGATCATGAGGTCAAGAGATTGAGACCACCTTGGCCAACATGGTGAAACCCCGTCTATACTAAAAAAGGAAAAATCAGCCAGGCATAGTGGCACATGCTTGTATTCCCAGCTACTCAGGAGGCTCAGGCAGAAGAATCACTTCAACCTGGGAGGCAAAGATTGTAGTAAGCTGAGATACACCACTGTACTCCAGCCTGGGTGAGAGAGTGAGACTACATCTCAAAAAAAAAAAAAAATTTGTATGCAACTTAAGTTTATTTATTTATTTATTTTTTGCCAGATTAAAATAAACTGTTGTATCTTTTAGAGGTTATATGTAATGCCCAAGGTACCACAAAAATATTTCTATAAATTCACAAAAGAGGCTGGGTGCAGTGTCTCACACGTGTAATTATAGCACTTTGGGAGGCCGAGGTGAGTGGATCACCCAAGGTCAGGAGTTCAAGACCAGCCTGATCAACATGGAGAAACGCTGTCTCTACTAAAAATACAAAATTAGCCAGGTGTGGTGGCGCATGCCTGTCATACTAGCTACTCGGGAGGCTGAGGCAAAAGAATCACTTGAATCCGGGAGGCAGAGGTTGTGGTGAGCTGAGATCACGCCATTGCACTCCAACTTGGACAACAAGAGTGAAACTCCACCTCAAAAAGAGAAAAAAAAAAAAAGAGAAAAGAAAACAATGAAAGCATATAAATACAATCTTCAAAAAGACAACAATGGAAGAAGAATAAATGAGAGACACAGACGTAAAAATCAAATAAAATGCTTAATAAAATAACAAAGTTTCTTTCAGAAAATTATTTAAATATATAGAAAATTAACTTTTAAATTGAGACATATTTTCAATAAATAGATTAAAACATTTTAAAAAGCCAAGATACATTTTGCCTTTCTACAAGAGTCAGTTGAGATCTAATTTTAAGGCCGGGTGCAGTCGCTCACGTCTGTAATCCCAGCACTTAGGGAGGTTGAGAAAGATGGATGACAAGGTCAAGGGTTCAAGACCAGCCTGGCCAACATGGTGAAAGCCCGTCTCTATTAAAAATACAAAAATTAGCAAGGTGTCGTGGCAGGCACCTGAAATCTTAGTTATTCGAAATCTTAGTTATTCGAAAGCAGAAAGTCACTTGAAACCGGAAGGCGGAGGTTGCAGTAAGCGGAGATCACGCCACTGCACTCCCGCCCGGGTAAAAGAGTGAAACTCTGTTTCAAAAAAACAAAATAAATAAAATAAATCTAATGATTAAAAAAGATTGGAAGTGGCAGGATGGAAGTAGACATTCCATGCAAACATTAATCAAATGAGAGCAGAAACAGTAAAAATAATCATACACAAGCTACATCTTAAGTCAAAAAGCATAATATTTTATAAAATATACTTGACATCGAAACTCCAAAGAAACAAAGAAGGACATCAAAAAACATAGATTAATTCACTGGAAACCTATGAGAAATCTGTGTGTGTGTGTGTGTGTGTGTATGTGTGTGTGTGTCTCACATTAGGGTTCCAAATACATAAAGCAAATTAGTAGAAAGGAAGAAACACAAAGAAAGCAATATAATTAGATGAAGATATTTTAATAATACACTTTCTGTAACAAAAACTAAAACAAGAAAGAACGTTAACAAGGGAACAGACTACTTAAAGGTTGTATAAAACAATTACTCCAAACAAAGCTATGGAGAACACTCCTTAACAACATCAGAATACACACCCTTCTCAATAGCTCATATATTTTCCTTGATAGACTGCATCTTACGCCAAAAAGGAAATCTTACCAAAATTTTTATTTTTATTTATTTATTTATTTTGAGATGGAGTTTTGCTCTTGTTGCCCAGGCTGGAGTGCAATGGCACGATCTAGGCTCACCACAACCTCTGCCTCCCAGGTTCAAGCTATTCTCCTGCCTCAGCCTCCCGAGTAGCTGGGATTATAGGCATGCGCAACCACGCCTGGCTAATTTTGTATTTTTAGTAGAGACAGGGTTTCTCCATGTTGGTCAGGCTGTCTCAAACTCCCAACCTCAGGTGATCCACCTGCCTCGGCCTCCCAAACTGCTGTGAATACAGGTGTGAACCACGGCACCCAGCCTTCAAAATGTTTAAAAGTAAAATTTTATGAACTACTTTCTATGACCAAAATGGAATGAGTGTACAACGACAAGAGAAAAAAACTGAAAAATTTACAAATACACAGAAATTAAACAACACATTACTGAGTGTGCTCTTATGCAGAGATTGAAATAGTTAAATTGTGAAGAGGTCCATCCTGCTCAATGCAATCTACATATTTAATGCAATGTTTTCCAAATTCCTCATTGCATTTTTGAAGAAACAGAAACAGCAACCCCAAAAGTATATAGAAGCTCAAGAGACTATTTAAAGTACCCAGGAAACTTAAAAAAAAAAATGCTGGAGGCATTAAAGTTCTTAATTCAAAACACGCTACAAAGCTACAGAATTAAAACAATTTGGTACGAACATAAAGGTAAATAAGTAGACTATAAAATAGAATGCAGCACGTATATAAACTTTTACATAGATTATCATATAAGGAGTCATTTACATACTCCTAATTATAGCGGCATTGTTACTGTAAGCTAATAGGTGAAAGCAATGCAAATTTCTTTCACTAAATAATTCAGTAGATATAATTTGAAATATAAAAATTCTGAGGCCAGGCACAGCGGCTCATACCTGTAATCCCAGCACTTTGTGAGGCTGAGGCAGGCAGATCACCTGAGATCAGGAGATCGAGGCCAGCCTGACCAACGTGGAGAAACGCCATCTCTACTAAAAATACAAAATTAGCCGGGTGTGGAGGCACATGCCTGTAATCCCAGGTACTTGGAGGGCTGAGGCAGTAGAATCGCTTGAACCTGGGATGCAGAGGTTGCGGTGAGCTGAGACTGTGCCATTGCACTCACTGCAGCCTGGGCAACAAGAGTGAAACTCTGTCTGAAAAAAAAAAAAAAACCAAATTCTAGAATATAACTCAGTATTCAAAAAGCAGGAAATATTCTACGAACTATAAATATAAATCTTGACAGCATTATGCAAAATGAAATGAGCCAGCCACAAAAAGACAGAGATTGTATGAGATATATGAAGGAGTTACACTCTTAGAAACAAAGAACAGAGTGGTTTTTGCAAAGTGCCATAAAACAGAAAAAACTGGGGCCAGGCATGGTGGCTTACATCTGTAATCCCAGCACTTTGGGAGGCCGAGGCGGGTGTATCACCTAAGGTCAGGGGTTTGAAA